AGGGGAAACGTTAGAGACAACTTCTTTAAGACTTTTCCGCATTTCACTGGAGTGAAGATGACCTTTTTCAGTTCGGACCACAATATCCGAGATGGAGTGAGAAGGGTCAGCAGTGCAAAAACATCTCGCGTAGATTCGATAAATGTTACACTGTTTAGTTTCACAACTAGGATATCACGGAAATTCCGATCTGGTCACATGCGATGCCCGAATACTTCTATAGAGCGTGTAATCAGATTTTGTAGTTTCGTTTGCTCAAAGGTGCGAACAGCGTTAAACATATTCCTATAATTTTGACAGATATTAATTTTGATTAATTAGAAGTTCCGCTCAGCTAGCCTTTCAGCAACCATGTTTCAGAAGCGAGCAAAAAAATGTTCATGGTACCGTCGTGACCTAAACATTCCCGCAATCTCGTTCTTCATCAGCTTCTTTGAACATTCTCGCAAAATGACTCTGCATCGTACAAAAGCTTCTTCCTGATGACAAAACTGCCGGCAATAACATCATTCTTAAAGAATGTTCTCAGACAAATAATCGAATTCCGAATTTGGGCTAGCCGAAACTTCTAAATATTGCAGCTTTCTCAGTACATCAATCAATTCGCGACCATATCGATGATATAAATAAGACTTCCAGCCACTAATCTATGTTCGATTCGTTGATGACACTTTACTATTAGTCCAAAGAAATAAGGACGAACAGAAAACGCTGGAAAACTTCGCGAATCATAAGAATGAAAGATACGCCAATGGCCGAATACGTTTTACCACTAAAACGGAGGTGAATCATTCTATACTCTTTCCGAACGTGCTGATAAAGAGGGCTCCATTGCCTGAATTTGAGATTTCCGTCTAATGGAAACTAACCTACCCCAATCGACACCTCCACTTGGCGTCATGCGTCTTTTCTGGTTTGTTCAGGAACGTTGTGAAGAATACGCGTCTACAAGCCCAAGAAACCAGTATCAGCATCTATCAGCTAGACGCGGAATTTAAACACGTATACCAGACGCTTTTAAAGAATGGCCACCGAAAGAGGATGCTTGATGAAGAATTTCTGCACTCCAGCTCAAACTTAACGATGCCCTGTCCATGTGGACCAACGGTAATTTTATCGTTTATATCCCTGGTCTCTCAACATATCGAGAAGTGCCTTAAAGATACGGGGTTTTGAGTCCACTACAAAACTGGTAGAACATTGGGCAATGTCTTATTCAAGAAGCGCATGCCTTCTAACTACTACTATTATTCGAAAGAGGTGTCAAAGGCTGCATAAAATGTAGTGCGGACTGCAATAATGTGTACAATGGAAAGGCTTACCGAAAGGAATGCATACAATGAAAGATCATTCTGATCCGTGAACACTAACCTGCGGTACGCCTTGGACAAGCGGACAATTCCAAGCGGACGGATGTTGTCCAGCATGCTATCACAATACTAGCAATGAAATACCGAATGTACAATGAATACACTCTTCTATGGTTATCAGTCAAAGTTGTGGCAGAATAACAAATTTGATATGCAAAATCAGGACAACATAACAAAGATCTGATTTCATTTCTGATGTGATCTTACATAGTCTGATGGCTAATAATCTGGTGAAGCAGTATAACAGCGCTTTATTTGTAAAGCATGTGCTAACTGGAAAACTATAGTATTGTTAACTCGGTGGATATGTGCACAGCCCTGATGAAGCTAGGGTGTATGTAACGAAACGAGTTGGGAAAAAGGTTTCACCATCTAATGTTTCGTGCTCTGCACCATGTACCGTCTGCCCACCTATTTATAAACGAACGATAAATAGATGAATGAATCTTAACTGAAGGGCAGATCAAAATGAGAATGAAGGACTAAGGCGCATGTAATTAATATTTAAACTGTGGTACAAAGATGTCAAACACTTTCTGACGGAAGCTAGTTAGAAGTGCTCAAAATCGTATATATTTCATAATATTGTATTAAACCTAAGACAGAATCACGCAGCACACGTGAACCCGCATTCAGATGGACGACATAGTGAAGAAGTCCAGACAGCATTTTGATTCTAAATTTCCCAGTTTTTAACCACTGAGGTCATGAAGGATATTATTTTCTTCACTTTCCTAGTTCTACCAGTTGCTTCATCCGTTTTGCTGAGGAGTCATCATTTTCTGTTCAGACTGTAAACAGCAGAGCGAAAATGATTTCGCACGATTGACTGGGGGTTAAATCCGACGGTAGTTGGGTCTGTAATCGATGAGTTGCACTCTCAGACAGATCTGCCTTTAGGACTAACGGAACTCAAGCAATACTGTAAATGGGAGATTTGCACAAATATTATTCTCGCGGCTTTTTATAAATAAAAAATGCGAAGAAGTTGTGAATACTAATTACACAAAATTAGGGCATCAACGAAATTTAGGACATTATTGCACTTCTGCGTAAAGATGAATCTAAAGTCACCTCGTGAACTGAAGTAAGTCACCAGTAAATTAGGTGCATTAGTTCTGCGCAAGAGAAAATGTTATCAATATGATGGAAGTAAAGAAAAGGCTTAAGAATAACTAGAATTAAGTGCCACAGTTTCAAAACATATCATATTATTGACACGATAACCTAATGGAACTCAAATGTTCTTAAGAATTAGCTGCCTCGCTACGCATTGATTCGGATGCTTCAGGAATGATTTGAACGGCAAATTAAACGCAGCTTTCATGGAACATCCCGTTAATCAACGAATAACCAGGTAACCAAATAACTAGACTGACAATTTCTACATTACGATCAATAACATACCTATCACTACATTTTAATACAACTACTGTATCTTATTTGCAAAAGGTAGATGGCAAAACGTGAGGACAAAATGAAGAACATTACGAACGGTGGTTACAAGTAATTCTGTAATATTCCGCCGGCGAAACAGAATCGTGAAACAAACGAAGGTTTACACCAAGAAACCAAGCTTTCATTTATAATTCAACATCACTAACGAAGTTCAGGATCTGCTCATTGACTGAATCACTAAAGGGAGACTGAATGTAGCAAACGGTTCGTGTTCAGTTATCTTACGTTAAACTTAAATAGGTAATGAAAAATGGTTAAATGGGCTAACAGTGGACAAAAATAAAACATACACACTTCGTAATCAGGGCCTCCGTAAACAACGATCGACTTCTGAGTCTGTAACTTGTACAGTTCAGCGGCTAAATGGCGGTAGCTTTCCTCATAACGCTTCCGCTTTTCTGTTTCCTAAACGATTTGAATAAAGAACAAAACCAGCCGCGTGAAAGACGGGCGATTGCCTACTCGGTCCAACTTCTTTTTCCATAATTCATCGTGCTGTTGTATCATCTCCATGCAATGCTGCAACAGCGATATGATGCCGGCAGTAGTTTCTCGGAAAGTGATAGCTTCGCTCTTGAAGTCGATCCACTGTTCGAATGCGATCGGTGATGAGGACATAGCAGACGGTTTCGCAGGAAACTCTTCTGCGTCACCACGAATTAGAAAATCTCGTCCTGTTTCACCAAATGACGGACTTATAGTAGGAGGGCAACTTAATGCCGAGCGTAATCTGTCACGGGTGAACGCCTGATCCACATCGTCAAAATCGTCGGTGTCGTGGATTACTAAAATTAGCAACGATTTACGAGCGTCAAATCAAAAAAGAAATTTTAATGGAAACGTAATGGCGCAACAAAATTACACAAATATACCCTACGTTAAGACATTTCTTTGTTATTCGCAAAAGCTTATAGGCAGCCTACGATAAGATTTTAAAAGGTGCTGTAGAACGCAAGAGATTCCTACAGAAAACAATGGAACAAACACGATTAAAACTAACCTTCTAAGCACATATATATTGCCCGAATATTTTGTTATCTGATTAGTAAAAGACTGTAAAACACGCATATCGACCTAAAACGTGGAAGGGTTTGTGTCCAGTACTACTGGAAAGACTGCCTCTATGCTGTTACAACATCAACGACCAGAGCAGTCCGGCTTCACGTCTGGCAGACCGGCAATGTATGCAGTGCTCACTTTCCGACTGTCGCTGAGTTATATCACGATTTCGATCAGCTTATCCACGTCGCCCACATGGACAAGAAATCCGCTTTCGACTGTGCTGATTGGACATCTCTTGGATTGGAGGCATAAACGTGAGTTCAAACGGGGGCGGTTGGTTTTCATACAAGAACAGCACACTGACATCAAATTTTCCGTCAGGATCGAGTCATCATGGCCCCAAACCTTCTGTAAGGCGATGGATTGTGTCACTCAAAAGGCAGCACGTTTACTTGTCACCACAGTTAGACACTACATTTTCGATGACATGCTGTGCGCAAACGACACCATGTTGTTCGTCCCAGAACCAGCAGCCATCGCTGAAGTCTTACAAGCACTGCAGAGCATGGCCCATCAGTTCGGACTTCGTATCTCATCACAAACGACATTTAAGCAAAACCGGCGTTGGTCCGTACGAAGCCGACGTTGCGTCAGACGCAATCCACGAGATCAAAATGTTCACTTTCTTGGCAGCAAGCAGTTCTTTGAGAATCGACGCAGACCTGGTATCCTTCATCCTATGACCCTCAATTCCTCCTGCATGAAGTCTCTTCACAGCACATGGACACAGCACTGCATCAGTACAATCACTGGTCAGAATCCAACACTCCTGCATGATTCCGAGAGCAGAACAGCGCCAATAAATAGATTTAACTTTTACAATTTAGTAGACCTGTGTGGCCGGTCGAAGCGCTGACAGTAAGTTTTTACCTATGAGTCATTACACCGCACTTGCACCATACAAGTTGGAAATAACTGTACAGAAAAACCATCGCTGATGACCTTTGTTGACTCAGCGACTCTCAGCGTACGGTAAATACCGATACAGTAAACTGATAAAAAACACGTAAGGCTTTTAATTTAGAAATTCGGTATACTTCAGAAGCATCGAATCAAAGAAAAATATATCAGTTGGCACAAAATCAAAATGCATTTCGAGGGTTGCCTTTCTGTCACTTTCGCTGTCGCATTTAATTTTAAAGAGGTTCTGAAGTACCTGACATCACAACTACCGATTGTAGAGAGTCATTACGATTCGAAACATGCACTTAAACCATACTTGTCCTCTGGATATATATTTAAAGCCACCGATTAACTGCATCTAACAAAACGTGGCAAACGAACGTACCTCGAGCATATATGAAAACACACCAAAACTTTTAATACGAGAGCGCTAAGGTGGCTACCGACAATGACGCTGTTTATGATCAAAGGCCCGTTCCAAGAATATCATGGGAGTACTCTGAAATACCAGAAACCTTAGACGTCATCGTTTTGTAGTCTTCACCGGTACACATCACACTTCTGACTTCTGATTAATACAGATAAGAGAAGAATCATGCAAGTTTCGATGAGCGGGATACAAAACGAGAATGTGCTGAAGCACAGCGACCCAGCTGTTACTGTTCGCGTAGTCATTCAGTTTCAGAAACCGCTATTCCTTTCCGGTCGCGGAGGCAGCTGTTTCAGGAAGCCTTTGCAATGAAGCGGCAAGCAGCCAAACAGACAAGTCCAGTCATCTCGATTCCAAGGCACGACTATACCAGCTTTTCATATAACCGGGCTATACGGCATGTGGTTTGCTCCTGGGCTATCTTTCATGTGGTCTTGCCAAAAGAATTAGTCTTGCGAATCTCTCACAATATCCTCATCGTAAGTGTGATCATTCGATCTAGAGAAAGAATGGCTCATA